GTTGCTTCTAGTTCCATACATTTGCCTGCAAATTTCAAGATGCCATTGTTTCCCCCTCCTCCTGCCCCCCGCTGAGTAGTACTCCATTGTGTAACACATTTCTGTATCCATTCTTTATTTGAGGGGCGGCGTCTAGGTTGCTTACAACTAATGCTGCTATGAACATAGTTGAACAGCTGTCCTTGTTGTATGAATGTGCTTCTTTGGGGTATATGCCTAAGAGTGGAATTGCTGGATCTTGTGATGGATTGATTACCATTTTCCTGAGGAAACTCCATACTGATTTCCAAAGTGGCTGTATGAGTTTGCACTCCCACCAGCAATGGAGAAGTGTTACCCTTTTTCCCTCATCCTCTCCAACATAAACTGTCATTGGTGCTTTTGATTTTAGCTATTCTGATGGGTGTAAGATGTCATCTCAGAGTTGTTTTGATTTGCATTTCCCTGATGGCTAAGGATGTTGAACACTTTCTTATGTGTGTTTCAGGCATTTTAGATTCCTCTATTGAGAATTCTCTATTTAGTTCTATACCCCATTTTTAAAAATTGAATTGGTTGGTGTTTTGGTGACTAGCTTCTTGAGTTCTTTATAAATTTTGGAGATCAGCCCTCTGTCAAATGTGGGGTTGGTGAATATCTTTTGCCATTCTGTGGGCTGCCATTTTATCTTGCTGTCTGTGTCCTTTGCCTTTCAGAAGATTCTCAGTTTCAGGATGTCCCATTTATCAATTGTTGACCTCAGTGTCTGTGCTACTGGTGTAATGTTCAGGAAGCGTTCTCCTGTACCAATTAATTCAGAGGTATTTCCCACTTTGTCTTCTAATAGGTTCAGTGTGGCTGGATTTATGTTGAGGTCTTTGATCCATTTGGACTTAAGTTTTATGCCTGGCAATAGATATGGATCTATCTGCAGTCTTGTACATGCCAACATACATAATCAGAGCAATATAAAGTAATCCAACAGCCAACATCAAAGTCAATGGAGAGAAACTCAACTTGATTCTTCTAAAATCAGGAACAAGAAAAGGCTGTCCACTCTCTCCATATCTCTTCAAAATTGTACTTGAAGTTCTTGCTTAAGCAATAAGACAATGAAATG